GTTCTGGGTGTGGTATTTAAAAGCACTTAGGAAAATCAAGTTATAGTAGAAGTAAGCGTTACTGCCGCTTGGGTTTTAGTCCCTATTCTCGTCGAGAGTTTCACAACAATTCTCTTTAGAGGTCCGGTCTAACTCTTATAGTTTTAGGAGTTAAGGCAGCGTATACTCGATATTTTTAGTCGTTGTTGATTTAACATGTGAAACTTATTAAGTGGATACTCTTAAGCATTTCTATCATGGTCCTTCAACCATCTCTCGAAAGCGGAAACATAACTAAAGCTTACAGCTACCATACAATTTTTAAGTATGTGCTTCAAAAATGTCCATTCACTGCTCTAAAAGCTACTCGTTAGATTCAGAATATTTAATCGTTAATTATATTTTCCAGATTAGCTAGTAAAGTGCTTAAAATCTACAAGTCGCTCTTTCTTTACCTCACAATTCTTCCATGTCCCTTAACTCTGTGGGGTGTTTTTAGGATAGAACTACAGCAGGCACTCGCTATTGTAACTTTATATAACAAAAAAACAGCTTTTCTCTATATATATTTGTGTATATCTTTCTCGTCCAATTTCTATTTGCCAAAAAATGCTCGATTGTAATGCTCGATTGTCGAAAACACACAACTCTTATGAAAAAAAAAAAAACAAACACAATGAAAACCACAAAAAAAACGCCTCTGCCTCCAGGTTTGGATGTGTGGCGGTGTCCTCGAGATTGCGCCCTGCTCCCGTGTGGGTCATGTCTTTCGCAAGTCAACGCCGTACACCTTCCCAGGCGGCACAACGGAGATTGTGAATCACAATAATGCGCGTCTGGTTGAGGTTTGGCTGGACGACTGGAAAGAGTTCTACTACAGTTTTTATCCAGGTTAACAAACTAAAAAAAAACAAACAAACAAAACAAAACAAAACAAAAACCAAACCAAAACCAAACCGAATGCTTCCTTCACTCTCTGTCTCTCATTCTCACGTTCTGTTCTCTCTGTCTCTACTATATATTTCTTGTGTCTGTCTCTTATATAGTGTTTTGTTCCGTATATCCACCCTATGCATACAAAAATATTAAGTGCAAGCAGCACGTCCTGCATTACTGCAAATGTCTATATCAATATCTCAATATTTATGATTTATGGCATGGCCGTGACAAATAAAATCCAAACCACCAAAAGCAAACAATCAACCACGAAATAGTTTTATCGATTCACCTTTTAAATACATTTTATTTCGTTATGTGTAGGACAGAGCCACTAGAATTCTTGACTTTACCTTTTTTTGTTATTATATCTTCAACATTCCACGACCCACTCTCCCCCACACCGCACACCCAACGCCTGTTTTCTTTGTCCTACCCACAGTTTTGTCTTTGCATTTTTCACATCAGGTGTATTCACGGAATGGTATTTGGATTATGGTCTATTCCAAACTTTGTGAATCAATACCCCCAACATTTTTATTTGTCCTTTGTTAAGGTTCTCCAAATAAAACTTAAAATTAATAATGTAAAAGCTTTGATAGAAAACGATTTTGGGTTATGGGTTTTAGCGCTTCAAGCTGTAAATGTTGTGTACAATAATAGCATTAGTGTTGGTATTTTCGTGGCGTATTTAAAAAATAACCTAAATTATTTGTTGTATATTAATTTCTAAGCCTTTTGTGTATATAAATGATATTACTGGCACGCTTTAAATGTACTAATATAATTTTCCTGCAGCACCCGCACAAGTTCTATTGTAATTTTGCTTCCAAATTGCTTCTAAATGTAGAACCTAACACAAACACAGCCCACACTTACATTGATGTTGTTCCGCCAAGTACTCGAGTGTCCTTATTGAACTCTTAAATCTCTCTCTCTCTCTCCCCTTGTTTTGGTGATACTTTAGGTGCTCGCAAGGCTTCGGCTGGCGATGTTAGCGATCGTAAGGATCTGCGTGATCGTCTGAAATGCAAAAGTTTCCGCTGGTATTTGGAGAATGTATATCCAGAGAGTTTAATGCCTCTCGATTATTACTATCTGGGAGAGGTATGTTAACTGCTTTAAAATATATTTCATTGAACTCAAGCACCCATCCTCTGCCTATAGATACGCAATGCGGAAACCGAAACCTGTCTGGATACCATGGGCAGGAAGTATAATGAAAAGGTAGGCATTAGCTATTGCCATGGCTTGGGTGGCAATCAGGTGTTTGCCTATACCAAGCGACAGCAGATCATGTCCGATGATCTGTGCCTCGATGCGGCCAGCTCCAATGGTCCGGTCAATATGGTGCGTTGCCACAATATGGGTGGCAATCAGGAGTGGGTCTACGATGCGGAGGTAAGTATCTGTAAACTTAATCCTGTATCTCTGAGTACTAAAGATGTGTTTTGATAACAGGAAAAATGGATACGTCACACGAATACGGGCCAGTGCTTACAGCGTGCCACCAGAGATGATGCCAATACGCCGCTGTTGCGGCCCTGCAGCTACGGCAAGGGTCAGCAGTGGCTCATGGAGTCCAAGTTCAAGTGGCAGGCACACTAGCAACCCTCGCATCAGCCAACCGATAACTAACTAACAACAAAAACTAAACTAAACGGATCCTAATAACTATACTGAGAACTTCCAATTTGTGTTGATTTTTGCTGGCTTTTGTTTATTGACATTTATGTAGCCTTAAGTTTTTTTTCTGATCTAAGTTTTTCTCTCTAACTCTGTCTCTCTCTCTCTCTCTCTCTATGTATGAGTGAATGTGTTTGTCCTTTGTGGCAGGATGTCTTCCCAAGTGTATGGAGTGTATGTGTATGACTACGATTTATATAGATCTATATATATATGATATATATTGTAATTGTATATTTAAATTAGCTTCGACCAAGTACCAATAAATTGGCATTTAAATGACATTTTGTGCTTCACAGAATATGATTTAAAGCAAATGCAAGGCCAAGAGCAATTGCCACAAGTGTGTCATAGCAGAAACATAATATACATAAATTAATAATTAATAATACAATAAAACAGCAGCACTTCCCCGGCCCAAAACATTCCTAGATAGAATAAACATATATGAGAGGGACACAATTGTTTTCATGCTGTGTTCCTTACCTGTCCCTGTCCCTATCCTACTATTAGGCTATATTAAATATCAAAAGAAACCTCTGTTTGCTTTGTACCAAAACGATGCGCCCTTCATATCATACAAGAAAATGCTTCTAAATCCCCCATAATCATTATACAAGAAATGGAAAATCTCTAAAAAAAATTGCACGCATATCATAAATACAGTGTAAAAAAATTATTTATAAATGACATAATTCAGATGCGAAGTAAACCCCAAGAAAAGGAAAACAAATTGTACATAAAATTAAAGTAGCTATTAAAAATATACATTTAAATAAAATATTTATATGGCATGTATGTAAATGCGTATATGCGAAGCAAGCAAAAACCTGTACTATAAATTGCATTTAGTTCTAAGTTCGACTCTAGGTTCTAAATTAAATTTAGATTTAGTCCAAATTTTGGCAAACATCATACACAAAATAGCTCTCCATTAAACAAAAGAAAAGCCAAGAATTGCTCAACGACAAAGAGTCTGTCAGCTATTGTGTAAATATTTCCAAAAAGTATTTCAATTAAACTTGAGTAAAAGATACGGAAATTCCACAGAAACCCTTTAGATGATACACAGACACACAGGCCAAGTAAAACTTTTTAGCTAAATTTATTTTATAATGAAATCAACAGAGAGACCATAGCTATAGGAAACGATATATACATATGATGAATGAAAATAGTAACTATTTTTAACTGGTGACGGTGCAATTTTAATTTTTAACATTTAACATAGCAAAACAAGAAATGAAACAGGAATGCAAATCCAATCAGGCAGGTCGAAAAACACACTTCCTCCACCCACGAAAAATCAACCATCCTATTAGTAACCATGTATCTTACCATCATGAAACAATAGAGCTGCCTATATATGTTTTAATTGTTGAATTATATGTTTAGCCAAATCATTTCTCAATTGTAACAACTCTCAAATCAAATCGACAAAACACAATAGGAATGATAATCATACAACGGAATGTAAGCCAATATTTTTATGAAAATTTCCTTTAATTATTACATTTCTGTTTGTTTAGAAACTTTTTAAATTTTATAAATAAAAAAAAGGACAAATTTAAGAGAAAATGCATGAGTAATACAAGTGTTTTACTAGATGGGTGGAATGTTTTTTTTCCGCTAAGGTTTTTGAGATTTTATAAAGCAGATGGGTTTGTCGGCAGTGTGTCCTATATTGATCTCCATTGGTCTTACCATTTCTCCAGTTTCTAGATAAAACGTTACACAATTTCTAACGTTACTTTTCTTACAAGGAACTTTCCTCGGACATTCTTTCTTAACTATACTATCGCAACGTTGGCAGCCATAGGTTCAGTTGACTCCTCTGTCGAATGGCAGAAGTGAGGTTTCATTGTCCCTTCAATTATCATGATTTTTAGACACCTTTCTATTTATATAACAACCTTAAACTGTAGTCTTTCGTGTCATTTACTTCCCATCTTATCAATCCGCCTGAAGTAGAACTCTGAGATATCATTAGACCCATTATTGAAAAACTCTCCAACACTTCGATATTGTGCGTGGACTTCTTCAGACTCGAACGCTTTTGGAATATCGTAGTCATAGAAGACCAAAATGTTTGGCATTCAAGTATTGTATTATGGATTGGTAGTCAGGATTTAGTAACTGAGATTAAGAGAACTAAAACTGTTTTATCTCCTTCGAATTCCCTTAGGCATTATCATTCAAAATTGCATTCCAAGCATGGCCTCCAAGTTGAATTAAAATCGCTCTGCTATAAAACGTAAGATAATCCCGTTAGGGAGCACTTATTCCAATGCGGCTGCTATTGCAATGCAAAAACACTGACCATCCACACAGAACGCACTCTAGCCAGCAGGTAGCACTTACAATTATTCAAGAATACAAAAAAACGTCACTTCCTTTTCTTACTTATAAAAGTAAAATGAATTTTTTATTATTTTTCACTTGACCGGCGCGGCGCAAACCACAAGAAAATCGCGTTGTCTATTAGCCCTTAAAGGAGTATAATCCTTCCAGGGTTAACTACTGGAACTAGCATAACGGGGAGCATTAAAGCAATGTTTTTACTGTTCCTTGGTCTCACGCAGACGACGGACAGCGGAGCGCACGGACGCGGCAGCGGTTGTGGAGTACACCCAGGCACCACCGGCAACGGTACGCTTGCAGCGTTTGCAGGACCAGATGCCGACAACAGCGCGCTTCATGGAATCCTACAGAAGATAGAGGAACCCAACATTAGTTACACACGTTTATCATGCAAGATTTTGTCTGTGGATCTTACCTTTCCGCAGAACGAGCAAGTGTATTTGCTGTGCTGGGTGATTTCCATCTTCTTGACCATCTTACGCAGGGAGGCACCATAACGGGTACCATATTTACCTACGATTCCGACCTTCTTGGTGCGCTTGGCCTACAATTATACAGAAAATAATACAAGTTAGTTTATATGTTGATACAACTTAAATGCATGCAAATGATTTACTCAGCGAGTAAATCCCAATGTCAGGAACCGGTAAATTGTACCCTGGGGCCATATATTGTCCATTTGTAGCATTTCCATTGAGGATTACGCGTATTTTCTTAAATTAATTTCGTACCATTTTTCTGTTGTGTTGTTGATTTGTCAAAAATCCAACCGGAAAGAGCAGTGTGGCCGATTTTTCGATCAAATATACCTTCGGACCCTAAAAATTATACCCTATCATTGTCAAGAAATACCGTAAATATACCGAATCCAACTTATCCCAATTATGCCCCTCTATTTAAATAGGTAAACACCTGGAGTACCATAATATCTTTAAGTGAATGAGTTATAATTCTAGAAGAGTAAATAATATTTTAACCTCCATAAGCTTTCTGGTTTTGTACTTTACCCTGATACCAATTTTCGGTCTCTATCGGAGACTGTAAACTGGAAAAAACAAGAACCTAAGTAGTTTCCTTATTAATTTGGAGCCTGAGATGGTCAAACATCACATAAACTCTGGTAAATGTATTTCCCAGGGTAGTTATATAGCTGAGAGACTTGCTCATTCCCTTCCTCATGTTGCTGAACAGTGCTGGGGCACTCTGTCACATGCTGACGACTATGACACTCGGCACTAGCGCGTTTTTGAATTCGATCTCTATTTAATGATAACAATGTGCTTTAAGGGTGGCTTATACGATTTTGTTGACGACAGTAGATTGAATATAAAATATTCAAGATTTTCAAGTATATTCATGGCTAGGTTTATTTCTTCAATCTCCGCGGACTCGTTTAGTCGTGAGAATAATGCCAAATGTATGGTCACACTGTCTGCGCATTAATAAATAGTGCGCACGTCACAAAAAAACAACACAATTGCGGCCAAAATTTTGCTAATTTTCAGGCGTCTAACGCACCCGAGCACACCAAAATTTGCCCAACAGCAGCCCACAAAAGTGTCGACCAGCGAAGCCATGCACAGCTGTGTCCTGCTGCCAGATGCAGCCAACTACCAGCCGGATACCCTGGACTTAAATACAGACGCCAAAGCGGCCGCCTATTGGTTTCCCTGCTTTCGCGACATGGTTATCAAATTCGCAAAGCAAGCGGCCAAATCGCAGGCGGAGGACGCAACGGCCGAGCAGCGAGCGGAGCAGTTCAAGACGGCCTATCTCCAGCAATTGGATTACCATCAAAGCAATATTGCCAGCAACAGCGGAAGGGTGATCCTGGGCACCAGCGAGCTGCTCAAACTGAACGAGACCATGCTGCGTCGCTTTGGCTTCACGGATCCGTGGCGTAGTCAAAAGCAGCTGGAGAATGCCTCGGCAAAGGCGCGACTCAAGCTGCGGCTGGAGGAGATTGATGCCATCGAGAATCAGGATGATAAATGGACGGAGCTCGTGCGCGGCGTGCTCGCGGGCAACATGTTCGACTGGGGCGCCCAGGCCATATCTAACATACTGGAGCAGGACAGCAGCTTTGGCCTACACTCCGCGTTGGATAGGATAGAGAAGCGGCCCTGGCTGCTGGACAACCTCGACAATTGGCTGAAGCGCCTGAGAATCAGCAGCGAGCAGCCGCCGCACAAATGCGCTGTGGTATTTGTGGACAACAGCGGCGTGGATGTGGTGCTCGGCGTACTGCCCTTTGTCCGTGAGCTGCTGAAGCGCGGCACCAAGGTGCTGCTGTGCGCCAACAGTGAACCCTCGCTGAACGATGTGACCAGTCAGGAGCTGAGCGCGCTGCTCGAGGAGTGTGCCTGCGAGTGCGCTGTGTTGTCCTCCGCCTGGTCCACCTCCCGCCTGCTTGTCTACGCCAATGGACAGTCCGGACCCTGCTTGGATATGCGCACGTTGCCGCGCGAGCTGTGCGATGCCATAGCTGCCAATGAGACTGATCTGCTCGTGATTGAGGGCATGGGACGGGCCCTGCACACGAACCTCAATGCGCAGTTCAGCTGCGAGACGCTGAAGCTGGCCGTGATCAAGAATCGCTGGCTCGCCAAGTACCTGGGCGGCGATGAGATGTTTGCCGTCATCTGCAAATACGAAGCGATCAGCTAGTCGAGCGCCTATGCCAGACTCCTTGTTATGCTGTTGTTGTTGTTGGGATCCGTGTGAGAAGAGCCATTGTTTAATTTTTGGAAAATATTGTTATTGTTTGATCCAATTCAAGTCACAGTCACAGTCCATCCCCATCGCCAGGATTCATCCCCCCCATTGAGATTCATATTTTATAATTTTTTGTGTATTGTTTTATTTAAATTATCGTGTAACTAAAGTGCTTTCAAGTGGTTTCAAACCCACATTTCTATATCTGCTCGGCATTTTAATAATTAAAATTATAAATAACAAAGCCTTTTGTTTATCGAGGCTGTCACGCTGCTCATTATTTATTATCGGTCATGGTTATATACCCACCTCTCTGATAAGAGCCCAACCCAATGTGGATTAGCCAACGATAAGGCAGACAGCAGAGAAACCATAGAGCGACCCATCCAGACGGTTCAACTATTTGTTTGAACGTGATAAATGCAGATCACTGGCAGCTTTTTTCTACAACTTACAGACACTGTGTGCCAATTCGCACGGTCACCATCACTCACTTATCACTCAACAACAACACAGCACAGCCAAGAAGAGCGGCCACAAAAGCCTGATAGGCAGCAAGCAACCAACAGATAAGATCTACGAGACCAGGAAATTGCCCCCCAAAACAGAACTTGAAATGCGATAAACTTGAAGCTAAGCCAGCGTATATGCTACAAGCTAGACTTGGGGAATATTACACATTTATTATACACTTTAAGTTGAGTGCTGTCATGCCTTAAATAAACTTTCAAAACAATACACAGACGAAAATCAAAATCATATCAGAAAATGTGACAAATTGCAGTTCAAATAAGCGCTCACATCGAGTTTCACCACAGTCTACAACAGAATAAAGGTAAGGTAAAGTAAAGCTTAAGGTGCTTCTAACCAGATCTAAGCGAATGCAAGTTGGAAAAGTTTTTATTTAAGCATTAATAAGAGGAAATGCAATAAATAAATGTGCAAACATAACTTTGTTGTGTGCAATTACCGTGGGTTAAGCATCAGGCGGCATATTTCGTACACCCAAACCGCGGTCACACTGACCAGAATAATACCGATCAGCTGTTCGGTGTCGTGTTAAAATTTCTTGCAAAAAATATTCGTTTCGTAGATAAACATTAACAAATTTATATTAAACAATTAAACAACATTTTCTGCACTTGTGCCATTCGGGTCGTTTTGGTTCTTTTAGTTTTCTTTCAACTGTTTGCTTTGAACTCTATCAAGGACTTGCGTTTTTGGTCTATCAATTATCAGCAAAGAGCCAACTAGAAATGGATATACTCAAGAAAATGTTCAAGTCGTCGGAGGAAAAGAAGCAAGAGTGAGTACATGTGATTAATAGCAATAGATTATGCAAGCAAGTCGCAGACAATTAAATGTTTAAACAAAGAAAAACCGTACACCGACAGCGGCTTTTTCAATTGGATCGATAACCAGGCACCTGCCATGATAGATACATTTTTACCAGGATATATACACCCACACACTCACACACACACGCACTCGCTTGCATACAGAAGCAGATGTGTGTGTGTGTGTGTGCGTGTGAGTGATTTTTGCGGAGGCTGCGTACTGGGGTGCTTAATGGTTTCCGAGGGGTGACAACAAATTCTAATGTACATCCGCTTGGTGGTCTTCCTCTTTCCTGTTGCAGTGGTGCCGATATATCCGCATCGAACAAGGATGAGTTCCGCAAGCCGCAGTGGTTCGAGGAGGCCGAAACGGACGATGAGCTCTTCGACGATAATCGCAAATTCGCTTTCCAAGTGTTCACCAGTCCGTTGGAGATGCAGAAGCACTTTGAGCGGCAAATGCAGCGTCTACTCGAATCAATGGATGAAGATGGGCCTACCGATGATAACGATGATTTCTGTAAGCGAGAGCAAGTCCTGATCTATCAAGAAACTAACATTTACGTTCCATATTCCTCAGATGATGTCTTGAAGCCCGGTTTTGATAGCTCGATTCTCACGAAGTTTGCACGGCAAAATGGTCAGTCGCTGGATAATGATTTGGATGGCGAGTAAGTCTAACAGTCTCCCCCATTAAATCGAAACTCTACCTCCTGTCTTTCAGAATCTACGCCGATCAGATGCAGTCGCTCATTCAACGCTTGAATCCGAAGAAGGGACAGGAGCCGGCCGACGAAGCCATTGGCAACATTTTGCCCTCCAATCAGAGCCGCCTTCTGAAGAGTCTGAACAAGGCAAAGCTGACGGATGAGGAGCTCATCATGGGTCGCATACACGGCACAATCTCTGCCGATGGTGAGGAGGTGCCACAGGCTCGTGCCTCACGTACGTACATCGGGATAAAGCCGGAAATGATGACTCCAATGACGCCCATGTTGCCGCGCAGTGGAGTGACTCCCTTTGGTGGCGTATTCGATGGCAACTATCAGGTGGGAGCCACACAAAAGTCACAAAAGTAATGGGATCAATAATGAGTATATTTCTCCACAGGGTCCGAAGATGTTTAGCCAGAGCGTGATGACCCAGACGGTGCGCAAGCCGGATGGCAGCTATGAAACCACCAAAATGGCCCAGGATGCAACTGGCCACAAGACCACCACGGTGACGCGCATGAAAGACGGACGCTCGGAGACGGTGGTCACCCACGATGGCAAGGCTGCGGCCAAGCCACAGCGAGGCTCCCTGGGTGAGCAGCATGTGGCGTATGCCGATCGCAACTTGTTTGTGACAAAAGAAGGCTACGCAATGCCACGGAACCTCTGGTGACCAGTGGTGAACAGCTATTGCCCCAATCAAGACAAGCGATCTCTGCTGCAACGCGAGCAGCAGCAGCAACAACAGCAACAACAGTATGCAGATAAGCTAAAGCGATTCGTCGGCAACATAGTCCCACATCCACATCCACACAACATCCAAATTAGAACCTACTATATTTTAGTTTACATTCTCCTTAGTGTTTGGTGTTTTAGATGAAACTCGGTTGAGACAACAGATGACGACGATTATTGACCATGATTTTATTAAGCAGCGACCGCACAGCGTCGTTGTGTATTGTGAGCATGCGCCACACCCCAAGAATGCGCTCCACAACAACACACACTCTTTCAGTTCCCTGGGCATTCTGCAGGAGCTTTGCACTCCCTGAGCGAGGAATGGATTAGCGTGGAGTGACGTGAAGTGGAGTGGAGTAGTGTGGTGAGCGCTCTCGATTGGAGCATGTGCAGGTGCAGGCTCGTGTTGAACGGTGTGAACTTGATTTTCAGTTTGACAAAAGTCCAGCCAGACTGAGACCCGGTTTCGGTCAGCGGGTTTCAGTCGCGCAAACAGCAAACGCTGGCCAGAACAACGCTGGCCCTAATTGCGGCAAACATTTTTTTATTGTATTAGTTCTTCGTGGTACTATCTGTGTCTCAATGGAGCGTATGTCCAGCAGCAGCATCTAAAGTGCCCGTAGCATACAACAAAAAAGAAAAGTAAAAATCATTCTGAAAGGAAAACCACCATAAAATACAATTGATGTATTACCGCTTAGCAGGCAAAACGATTTACACAGTCTATTATTGATATATAATTTAATTGATTTAATAGTTATACATAAACACAGCGCCCCCCAACCCCAAACCACACTTTGTGATTTGATCTAGAAAACTGCGACGTCAGTCGAGAGTTTAACTCACAGTTTATTTAATTGAACGCTTGATTAAACTTTAATTTGTTTATTAGTTGTACTAATGTTTAACGTTTAAGTTGAATTTAACTAAATCTAATCTTTCAAATAGCTATAATACATACCATGCATTAGAAATTCATTCAACAAACATGCAAAATAAAGTGTTGTGCAATATAATTGTGGATTTAGTTTTGGGTTTTCGATCGGGTCTTTTGAATGAAGACAGACAAACAGCCAGAGTATGGCCATATAATAAAAGGGAAAACTTGGTGCCATAAAGAAAATAAGACTGGAAAGCCTTTCTAAGACAAAGGGGCAAAGGTACTGACAACTAGCAAACACTGAAATATGGGATTGAACATGAAATTAACTTTGTTCCACATTTTAGATACTTTTAGGGAGTAAAAATGTTGCCTTGACTCGTACAGAATGTTTTCTAAAATATATCTATTAAGTTTCCCCTTCCAGTAGCACAGCTTTAGCCATTTGATGGTATAATTTTATTCAGTTTACAATTTAAACTAAAGCAGGCAAACAAAGTCAGACAGGCCTCTCTTGATGGTAGTTCTCTAGTGATGATGGTCATCCTTCTTCACAAAACGCAGGCCGCAATAGCCGCAAGTGTGACTGCCGGGTGCGTCCTATAACAAAGATTCGACATTAACCCAGATAAGCACATTTATGTCACAGTATCTCACCAGATTGATGTACACTTTGGGATGTCCCAGGGGGCCATCGCCGCCATCACAGAAGACCACACGCTCGGTGCTTTCGATTGGTGGTATTTCGTCAATCATTTTGATGCCCCAGTTCTCGTTCACATAACGCTTGGCATTCACGAAACGCACATTGCGGTAGTCATCCTTGTCGAAGACCTAATCGAACAGAATTTTTGGATATAAAAACTAAAACGTTTGCGTAATCGCAGGACGGCAACAACATTTGTACTCACTTGGCCCGTGTGTGTGACTTTGTCGATGTCGCTGCGGGAGCTGTTATTGCGCACGGCGGTCAACGGAGTCAGCCAGTTCTGGCCACAGCGTCCAACTTTAGCCAAATTGTTTACCAATTGCTTGCTGGCCATTATTTTGGTTTTTCAAAAAATTTGTTCAGACAATTTATTAATGTGACTGACCCTCAGAAATATACCAAAACATACCTTTTCATTTTCAAAATATTCCATAAATATACCGATGAACAATTAACCCACTTAAGCCCTCTCTATTTATCTAGGTAAGACAACTGCTGCTTTCTTTAATATATCTTTAACATTGAATTTAGTTTCCCTGAATTCCCTGAACTAAGTTTTGACAGACTTTCTGCATGAGTTGTATATTCCTTTATAGTTCCGGCATATTGACTCTTAGAGATTGTCAGAATCCCTCCAGCTTCGTCAATCGTGTATAAAAGTAATTAATATATCTGATAAAATTGTAGTTTCAGGTCTTCCCAGCGTTTATTATTTAATCGAATATCAATATTGAGGAAAATGATTTTCATCGCAATCTTTACGGTACATTTTGAAATCAGAAGAAATATTTCGGTATATTTCGGAGACTAGGACGGCATATTTTGTTGAAAAATCCGCGGTCACACTGGTGCTAATGCTTTCGCGCA